AATTAATGACTCCCTCCCACAGATTCAGTTTTGTGTGCAAAGAGGAAGAGACCGCTTTCCTTTCTTTCAGAGTGTAATCTAGAAGTAACTTAGAAATCCTTCTCACAGATCACATTTAATAGAACAGTTGCTTGGGATGGCCGCACTTAAAAACACACGAGGAGGAGTAAAATTCTTTGTCTGTGTTCAAAGTTCTAGTTCTCTAGAAGAATGGGAGGGGGTCAATTATCAGGGAAGTCATGTGTCATCTCCTCATTATTCTAATTTTTCTGTCTTCACCTTTTGGTAGGATTTTATTGTTCATTACTGAGTTTACATGTAGAGACTTTCATTGATCTGTTTGCTCACTGTGAATCTACCCATTATTTTAGGGTCTAATTTAACATTAAAATTTGTTAAGTTTTCCCAGTAGCCTAAAGCATAAAATCCCTTTTAAGATTTTTAAATTACCAGCATAGGACCAAACTAGACCCTCTGAATGTGGGTGACAATTATACGGTTGGGGCAGATTGCAGGGCCACTGATGGTGGGATCAGGATTTATCCTGACTGCTTGGACTGGCTTTTTGGAACCCATTCTCTTTGGAGGGATACCTTGCTCAGCCTAGATACCTTGCTAAGCCTAGATACCTTGCTCAGCCTAGATATAGTAGGGATGGCCTTGGTCCTTCCTCAAAGCAATGTTCTAGACGTTGTGGATTCCCCATGGGAAGCCTTACCCTCTCTGAGAATTGGATGGGGAGTGGAATGGGGAAGGAAGATGGAGGGAACAGGAGGAGGGGAGGGAGTGGGAACTGGGATTGGTATGTAAAATGAGAGAAGACAGTTTTTTTTAAAAAAAAAAGTTTTACAAAAGATTCTTAAAGTACTATCTTAGCCTTCATATTCTCAGCCCCTCCTTTTAAATGTTTATTTTTTCATTAATGCATTATTCGTTACCAAGCGTGTGTTGCATGGCTCCCGTATGTCATGTACAGTGTCACTTAACTTCCTAAGCTAATTCTTTGGGTTGTAGGTAGAAGGTATAGTCATAACATACCTGGTTTTCATCATAATTATCATAACTCCCTTCTGATGGTTGTTTCTACCGTTGTCATGCTTGAGAAATTAGATGCATTTAATGAGAGAATTTAATTTAATTTAATTAGAGAATAAGAACAACCATTTAAAGCTACCCAATACAATAGTTGTTAATATGCCTTACAGAACTCAATGGGGTCATTCTTGTTCAAACACCACAAACACATTCTCACTTCATTTTACATTTATCCTTAAATGTTTAACATACATGCAACTATAATTTAGCACTTACTAGTCTAATAAATTTTATAACTTAAAAAGTAAAATTATGTACGATATTGTTCTAGTTTTCTCTCTGTTGTATGACAAATGCCACGATTTGTGTCAACTTTTGGGTGAAAAATGTTTATTTAGCTTATATGTTACACTTCATTAGGAAGGAAGATGGCACAGGAATTCTAATAGGACTTTGAAATAGAAGTCATAGATGAACACTGTTGGCTTTCTTTCACGTTTGTCTAGATAGCTTTCTTATACAGTCTACAACCATATGCCCTAGGGATAGTGCTGCCCGCGGTGAGATGGGTCCTTCCACATTAATTAGCAATTATAGCAATCTGTCATAGACAAATAAAGGCCAATTGGCTCTGGATAATCCTTCAGTTGAGATTCCCCTCTTAGACGACTCTGGGTCATGTCAATACATATTTTGTAGTATGCCAATACTACAGACCTAGTAGGTATATCCCACTTTTCTTGAAACTTTTTCAGGAACTTTTGTAGTTTTGTATAAAATGTTTAATTGAAAAGGATGACTAGAGATGTGTTGGCAGAGGCTGCTTGTTTGTCTTGGCTGCCCAGACCCAAAATAAGCACACGGAAACTGTATTAATTAAAACACTGCTTGGCCTATTAGCATATTTCTAGCTAGCTCTTATATCATAAATTAACCCATTTCTATTAATCTGTGTGTCGTCACTTGGTTGTGGCCTACCAGTAAGGTTCTGTCCAGTGTCGGACATCTATCTCCTGTGGCAGATTCATGGCTTCTCCCTGACGCTACCTACTTTCTTGCTATATCTCTTGAAGCCTGACTGTATTCAGCCCTAACATAGGCCCAAGCAGCTTTTTTTCATCAATAGCAATAAAATATATTCACAGTGTACAGTGGGGAATCCCACATCAGAGATTCATTCAGTTTCAATTTTCATTGTATTTATGTTTATCATACTATCTGTAAATCTGAGTTTTAATATATGAATAATCAAAATAATGAGCTTAAAACCATTTTCAAAGTCCATTGGAGAAATATTTTGTATGTGACTTTAGTCAAAAAGAAGCTAGGAAGGAAAATGATTGTTCTAGTCTATTCTTATTTCATGTGTTTGTCTTGTGGACAGAAGTCGGCAAAAAATTATAACATTAAAATTAAATTTAATTTTAGTCAAGTAATGGTTGGTCACACCTTTAATCTCAGTACCTGGGAGTCAAAGGCAAATGGATTTCTGAGTTCTAGGCCAGCTTGATCTGTAGAGCAAGTTTCAGGACAGCCAGGGCTACACAGAGAAAAAAACAAAATAAATGAAACAAACAAACACAAAGCAAGCCTAAATTTAATTCTAGAGATGGCATAAAATTATAGAGATTTTAACTATAATTTAAAAAATGCAAATAGCAGGCCAAGTGGTGGTGGTGGTGCATGCCTTTAATCCCAGCATTCAGGTGGCAGAGGCCAGACTGGTTTACAGAGTAAATTCCAGGACAGACTCCAAAGCTACACAGAGAAACCTTGTCTCAAAAAAAAGAAAAAAAAAAAGCCAACTGCAAGCAACAATGCATGGTTTTTTATCAGGTGACTTCATAGTGAAATTCTGTTTGCCCCTTCTGCTAGATCTTTATCAAGGAGCATATGCAAATGGTTAAAAAAGGAAAATGGGGTTATGACATTTTTTATTTTGGATTTTTAGTGGTGTATATAGGCATGATAGTCCATAAATATTTAAGTTTGTAAATTGTTGTCTTCTTGTTACTTCCCATATGACTGTTTCGTCATTTATTTTTCTCTTCCTCTTCTCACTTCCTCTTCTTTGGCCTACAAATGTAAGACTACTGAAGGGAAGCCGTCCCTAAGTGAGTGGAACAGTAAGAAACCATATGACAAGTGGGGTAGAGGAGCGAAACTAAAAATGTCCTCTTTCTACTTTTAAAATTCTCACAAGGTAATATAAATATGCAATCAGGCAGCTGTAAGTCGCAAAAGACCCTAACACACCTTGGCGTTCAACAAATTATTTATTGCATTGCTTCCACAATCTGTGAAATATTGTACTAGAGATAATACAAATGAGTCACTGTTCATGCCCTTGAAAGGTTTTTAAAAAGAAAACAAAAACAAACAAACAAACAAACAAACAAAAAACCCAAAAGCTAGCATGAGAATAAAGGCGGTCACTGAGAACAATTTATAATTTATAATGCATGGGATAAGTACAATTAGATGTAATTAGTGTTCTACCTAGTCTGAAAGAGATGTGAAAGGATTCTGGGAAGGGCTGCCCAAGTTGACCTAGAACAGATGAATAGATGCTAACAAGGGGTGAGAGAAAATTGAAGGTAAAGAGCCTCAGTCACAAAGGCAAATACACACCCACTGCCTGGGAATAACGTTAGACTTTTAGTATTGGGGTATATTAGACTGGAGTAAAAACCAAGGAGGAAAGTCGAGTGGAGGTGTTTCCTGCAGGACGGCTTATACCAAGTGAGGACTCTTGAGCTTGATTACATAGTGATAGTAAGCCTGGAAAGGAATGAACAGATTTACTGTGAAATGATTTCACCCAAAATGTAGGTAAAGAGTGAACCTCCAGGAAGCAAGCCGGCAGATAAGAATATAGTCTAGAAGACTGCTGAGACAGAGTAGAAAGTGTGAATTTCACACTGCCCTGGGACAAAAGGAACATGCAAAACACCCCATTTCTATGAGTGAGTAATGTGAACCGGTACTGGAAAGTCATATCCCTACAACTTTTCATCCTATTGGTACGGCATGCTTAAGCCCAGGGACATTCTGTGAGGAGGAGCTAAGTGGATGCAATCTGTTTTTATAGCTGGAACGAAGATGGCTCCTTCTCTGTGGTCCCCATATCTGTGCTGGGCACTTGGGTGAAGTGTGTCGGTCTGTCTTACATTTCTGGCTCCTGTGGAAGAATACCTGATAGAAACAACAATCTGAGAGAAGCAACATTTATTTGGAGGCGCCAACTAGAGGAATACGGTTTATCATGGCAAGAAACAAACACAGGGTAGCTGGAGTCATCATAGGAAGTGAGAACTGAAGGCACAGATCCTTATACATTGTTGAAAAGGAAGAGTTGAGTAGGTGGACCCAGATCCAACTATAATCCTAAAGTCCACTCCCAGTAACCTCCTCCCTCCAGCTGGGTCTCACTTCCTACAGTTTCCTTAGCGAGCACCACCACCATCCAGCGACCGAAGTTAAGGGGCGCGAGCCTGTAAGAGACATTTCACATCCACTCCAAATGAGCTACATGAGGTCATGTTCTAGATGTGTGATGGATATCCACAACTTCTCAAAAATATAGCAATGTCACATATTTTCTTACATGACCTTTCTGTGGGTGACTGCAAAACTGTTTGCTGTTGTGTGTTGTGTCTGTGAGATGAATTTTTTTCTCAACTTTGATCAGTGCTGATGCACTAATTACTCCATAGATTTTGTAACTGATAATCTTAGGTACATCTGGTGTTGGGAGTGAAATCCCTTTGAATTTTCAGCACACAGTGTCATTGACTCAGAGGTTCTACTTTTCCTTAGGAAGCCGGGAAAATCATAGTGTTTATTAGTTTAAACCTGTTTCAAAAACACAGTCAAAATATTCAAATTTCATTATTAACTTAATTATCCTCCTTTTGGCTCTCCAATGAGTATTTCTTCTCTCCCTCTTTGTTTTCCATTTTCAGGAATTTTGGCATCGCCCTTCACCTCTCTTAGAAATAACAGCACATTTTAATCAGAGATTTGTAAGTATCCTTTCATGTTTCTCTACTAAAAAAAATTAGACATTGACTTGGGGGAAGAAATAGCTCCTTTGTTTGACGAAATATAGCCACACAATATGAATGGGCATGAAAATTTGAAAAATCGACCTCTCTTCAAAGGCAGCAACAAAATATTATAAAGAAAACCAAACACCAATTAGAAATCATTTACCAAATGTATAAACAACTAGTGAGTATTACATTCTTTTTTGGTCAATTCTTCTTTCTTGATGATATTTTCATTGTGTTTTTCTCTTATGTATGTATGTGTCTACATATGTATGAGGCTGGCATGTTACATATTGATCTAATGAGACACCTTATGGAAACATATTTTAGAAAGTTTATATCACAGGTAAGAAGAAAGAGAAAAAACAGGCATGAATACAGGAAAGAGAAGAATGTTTATTCATTTAAAGTCATGTGGCTTGTATTGTCCATGCTTAACAGTTTTAGTAGGTTTTTTAAAAGTTCACGCTACATCTCACATAGCTAAGGTTTGTTCAGTTTCAACACATTTTTTAAAGCCTACTACTGTGTCATAATAATTGTGTTCAATGGGCCAGTTCTGGATCTGGCAATCTGACAGACCCATTCTGTTCTACTTAGTGAAGAGTTGAAGATAAGCAAACATATTTACAGATGTGCTATTTGGTAAATTTAGAGGAACCAGTAAGAGAAAAACAAATAGAAATCTGTCCTCCAAATGTTATCTGCAATGATAGTATTTTTACTCTTTTTTGTTGAAATGAAAACTGCAAGTTTAATAAGGCTATTTTTATTTATCACTAAATCCAATGATGAGTGGATATATATTATGTTAGAGAGTGCAGTTCCAGGGACCATGGTATAAAGAGAGATCAAGAAAGCAAGGCCACTCACTAGCATCCTTACTAGCTGGGAAACCTAGACAGCATATGTCTGAGTTTCAGAGCAGTAAATATCCGTATTTGAGGGTTGTTGACCTGAAATGATCACTGTTTAAGATCTTTCTATGATCCAGCGAAATTCTCGAATCACTGTTACTTACTAGTTAATATTCATTTTATCTTGGCTAATCAATAGTTGCTATAATAACCTTACCATTTGCAGGGTAACCAATAAAACCAGTCAACAGGCACTTGACATACTTCCAGCCGCCTCATCAGATAAGTTCTAGCAAATCATTTATTTCAAAGGGCGTGTTCAACTCTTAAACATCCTGTATTGGTGTGATCTGTTTCCTAGTTATGTGAGATGACTTTTGGGTTCTCATCCACTTACTTATTAATTTTCTAATCTTCGGCAAATTACCTGAACTTTCTGATGATGGTTCATTTCGACAGTACAAGGCACGCTATGGAGTTACTTCCATAGGTTGTGATAGGAACCAAATGAAATGACAAATCAGCGCTCCATGGAAATGAAAAATGTCGACATGACTATCACATTGCCCCATCTCTCCTATGTCATTTTTGTAAATTTTGAGCTTTTATCCAATGATGATGTTCCTTAGTAAACATCTACGAACTGTCTTATGAGTTAAGTTTGCCTCTGTGGAATCTTCGAGACTACTGTTTCAGGACGGATTCTTGACCACACTTCCCAGTGCTTTCAGCAAACATCTTAGACTCTGGAACTGCAAAGTGATCTGTGTGCCAGACATTGAGAAAGATGCCTTTTCCTATTATGGTGATTCTCAAATTACTTGGTCATTAACATTAAAGAAAATGGTTTTGTTTGGGTTGTAAGGAATCAGTATTCCCAGATATCTTCCTCCTGAAATGTCCTGAGATAGAAGATTGAGTAGTTGTTTAGATAAAAATAAAAACAAAAAACTGTCTGATTTCTATATTTTGAATCACATCCTCCCTTCGTCCCTAGGTGTTGAGACAGAAAGCTAAGCACATGTCTGGCCTGTGTGGGTAAAGGGATATATTTATGTTTGCAAGGTCCAGATTACATGGAAGGAGTGAAAGACCTGTGTTGCGGATGTCTTATAAAAGCCCGGAATGAAACACCCTAGATTTCTCAGCTTAAAAGGACTGTGGATACTGTCTAATTTAAGTCTCTTACTCATGGAGGAGGGAAGTTCCTTAACGTTTTGCCCAAGGTCACAGCAGAAGAGAAGGATTAGAATTTTCCCCCCAACTCCACTCTTCCTATTGTACTATTAATACTAGGCTGGCTCTGCCTCTGCCATTTCAGGAGCAGCTAACACAGGAGAAACAAGCTTCTCTAGTGCTGAGTTGGACTTCTGAGCAATCTTGCAGTGCAAAAGTAGAACGTGCTCTGTGAGACAACTTTCCTGTTCAAGTATCCTCCTGCAAGAGTGTCTTCCATAGGAACATCACTTAGCAAGGAGGCCTCTGAGATCCAAGAGTGGTCCCATGTTCCCTCTACTGTTGCTGTCCTGCCTCTTATGCTGTGCCTTTTCTAAAGGTCCATGGCTGTGCTTTTTTCCAAGAAAGAAAATCCAGGAGGAAGACCATGTTTCTAAAGAAAGATGAACACCTCTCAAGATGAGCAGAAGTGACCAGCTAACCTGTCCTGGGTTGTCTCAACATTAATGGGTCGTCCACACTGACCCCTCATGCATTGTCACACGTAGTCTCCTCAACTTTGGGAGGTTTTGTTTTGTGTCTAAGCAGAGGTTTAGACAGCTTATGTGCTCACCTAAGGTTTTATTTTAAGAAACAGAAGCACCGAGATCAGGTGACAAACCGTTGCAAAGCCTGTGTATCTCATGTTTTGTCACTGGTTCTTTTTAGCTCTGCCACATATAATTCTGTGAAAATAGGTCAATTTTGAATGCAAATAACTTGTGATTTTATGATATGTTAAGGAGGAGACATGAGCTACGTTGTTAATTGTTCTCACCTCTCCTTTAGACTATGTTCTCTAAACTCTTAAATTTTAAGAACACACCAGCAAGCCTTAGGGATCATCTGTCTCTAATTCACCAACTCTGGAATTACAAGGGTGTGCCACCATGCCTGGCATTTATTTAAACATGAGTTTTGGAGATTCAGCTCAGATTCTGGTGCTGAGAGAGAGAGAGGGCTGAGTTATCTCTTCAGATCCTGTAAACTCATTTCTTTATTTGCATGTGTGTATATGTGTGTGTGTGCCATATATGTATGTTCATGTGCTTATGTGACAAATTACTCATGGATTATCTCATTTTGTTCTGATTGGCTGCCTTTAACCACATCCATTAGTTCATATCAATTTCAGTAAATCATACAAAAAGAAAGTAGAGTATGTATGTGATCATTTAGAGCAGAGGGACATGTAAATTTCTTATGCAAAATATAGATCACCATCTTAAAACAAATCTACTAAAATATTTCTAAACATTTCAAAATTCTGTAACACACTTGTTAATTTTAATATCAACTGGTCACCTTCATAGGTCACTAAAATGTATTATAAGAAAGTTGTTTTTTTTTTCCTCCATCACAGATTGTGATGGAGCTGGAACAGGATCATGTAGTCACAGTACAATCCAGTGTACCAAGGAGAAGATTATGCAAAAATGTGGGCAATAAAAAGGAGTTATAGTTTTTAAAAGACTACAAATTGCATGTATAGTGCTAATTATTATGTGCATATAAAAATAGAGAGATGAATAACCTAACTATGTTTTGCAAATAAATCTGGACGTAAGTTTTAAAAAGGATTAAATGAAAGAGAAGAATTTTAGAATCTAAAGCAAAATGCTCATCTTACTTGGCCTCAGCTGAAAAATACTATGAATACAAAGAAATACTTATTTCCTGCTTATAACTAGTTTATCTTAGAATTGAAAGGCACCTCGAAACATGTTTCAAGTTATTTAAAGCTTTCTAGAATTTACTGTGGAAGTGGCTTAGAATTCTAGTCATGGCAATCAACAGTACTTTAGACATTAGAGGCTCTGCGAGGAGATGGAAGGAACACCAACTCTCTCTCTGTGACCCATAAACATTTGTTGAAGAATGTTATGCAAGCTTGCTTTTAAAAAACGAAAATTCGAGCTCTTATGCTGTTTTTCATTTTTTCATATGATGGACTAGGGGCTACTGAAAATGCCGAAAATGTTTCTCTTGGCATATTTGCGTAAAGTCAGAACCTCACAGACCCCAGCATTTCAGGTTTTCTGAAATCCCTGTTTTCTAGGGCACAGTGTGTATCTGGGAATTTAAAACTGAACTCCTCTTGGACTAAAAGCCTCAAGGACAATGGATGGATGACAAGGGAACTTGTACCAGAACATTTTTCATTCAACCCAAATAAGAGCCATCGTGTACATAATAACTATATTAAGCTTATACTTTTGATGCGAATAAGATCTAGTTTTATTAAATTTTAGTAAAAAGTCTTCCAAATTCTAAACTGTTAAGTTTATTACAGTTAGTATAGTCCATAGTATACAGTTACAGTTACATATTACAGTTAGTATATAGTCCATAGGTCTTAAAGTGAGAGCAAATTGATTTCCAAATGCTTAAAACTAAATTAGACTATGTTTAGTCATTTTGTCCTTCCTTAGCATCCTGATATTTCCAATGAGTGGCTAGAAAGTCTAGGTTTGATTGAAGCAGGTGTGTGAAACACAAGTGTCTTAGGGTTTCAATTGCTAAAATGAGATACCATTACCGAAAAGCAAGTTGGGGAGGAATGTCTTTCTTTGGCTTACACTTCAGCACTGCTGTTCATCATGGAAGGAAGTCAGGACAGGAACTCAAGGAGGGAAGGAACCAAGAGGCAGGAGCTGATGCAGAGGTCATGGAGGAGTGCTGTTACTGCCTTGCTCCCCATGACTTCCACAGCCTGTTTTCTTATAGAACTCAGGATCACCAACTCAGGGATTCCACCACCCACAATGGGCTGGGCCCTACCCCATCAAGCACTAATTCAGAAAATTACGGTTGTATTTTATGGAAGTATTTTCTCAAGGTTCCCTCCAATCAGATAGCTCTAATTTTTCTGTTAAATTGACATAAAACCAGCCAGTACAA